GTTATGCAGGGGAAATCTGTTTAGTTTTATTCCAGCCAAAACCAGGCAGCACGGAAGAAGAAGCTGTAGGAGGGCTCTTCCTAAGCTTGAGGTGACCTGAGAGCAGCCAGGTGTTTCAGTGAATGCTACCTGTGACCAGCACAGCAGCATCTGATCAAAGGTTTTCCTTGCCAGCAGTGATGACTCACATGAATTATCTTTTCTCTTTGTGTACTGTCTAGTGTTTACTCATTGTGGTTCTGTATTGGATTTTGTTTCTTGCAAGAAAATGAAAAACATTATTACCATATTTCCCTCCAGTTTAGGATTTTTAACCTTTTCTTGGTGCAGGGCTTAACAAACAGAAAAATCTGAAATTGTTTGGGGTTTTCACCTCTTAGATGGTATTTCTGGAGGGTCTTCAACCTTTTCAGTGTGGATTTTTTCTAAATCTGCCCTGCCCTGTTATTACCCTTAATTTTGTAAAAACACACGCAAAGGAATTTTATTTTTCTCTTCATTGTTTATGTGCACTTATGCTACAGAAAATAGGAACATCTGTTAGCTGTGGAAATGGTGTGTATGATTGATTCATCATCGCAGCTCCTCTAAAAAGTAATTCCTTACATTTGCTTGGCAAGACAGACTGCCAGACTGTCAGTCTGTTCTCACTCTCTCCATTGGCTTGTCCGAGTACTTGACTGACAGTAGCAGGGAACTCCAGAACACCTACAGGCTTTACCAAGGGAATTGGATATTTATCTCTGAAGGACAGCTTAAAACCAAAATATATCATTACATTCATTATCACAGCTAAAAACTGTTTAAAGAATTTCTCTAAAATAATGCAGCACTACAGTCAGCACACTTATCTGAAATTTTATAATATGGACATACAGTAAACAAAAGGTTACCTCCAGATAATTAAAAATCTTTTATTTTTCACTTACAAGAAAACAGCAAATTAAGAACATAAACTTGGCAGAACCCTTTTATTTAAAAAAAAAGACACTTTGCATATGAGAAAAGTTTTAAACAAGAATATAACAATAGAGAGACACTTGTATGTATTGAAGACAACCTACCAGAGCCTTGCAAGGCTTTCTAAGATGCAGTTCCCTTCCCTGCCTTTTATTTGCCTAGGCAATCACTCGAAGCCTCAAATTTAGATGAACACTCCAATTTTTGTTACGCATTTTGTCTGTGCAAGATGAACCTTCACTCCCCCTGCATTCTGCTCCCACTGCTGAAGCCCTGGCTGCCTCCAGGGGAGATCCTAAAGGAACAACAAGCTCAGCTCTGCCCCAGGAGTGCTCTGCCCCAAGCTTGGCTCCCCTGGCTCCCCTCTGGCCATGATCCCAGCGTTTTTCCACAGGCACACAGACCATCCCAATGCATGCATGGGATTCACACAATAGCGGGAGGTCACGGTCAGAGCTCTGTGCTGCAGTCCAAACCTGGTAACTCATCAGAGCTGAGATCAAAAGATTAATGGATAATCAGCTTGCTGATTATTACAATATAGTAAACAAAATGAACAGGAAAGATCAATCTCCCCCTTAACTTTTTATTTTTATTTTCTTACTTTTCCAGGCTAGGGCCATGGGAATGTGTCCTGTTGGAGCTTGACCTGACACTGTCAGTTTTGTTTAATACATAAAATGCATCTTACCTGGGTGATGTCTTTGGTTGTTACCTGTTTAAACACCTGTCACAGCACACTAAACTTGTTTTTTCTTTTGTATCAGTTGAATTTTTCAGCAAAAGATAATTTAAACTCCCGTTAATTAATGGAGAATTATCAAAACAGACTAAAACAGACTTATCTTGATCTGCCCCTTTCTCCTCCACTCATACATGGATTGTGGTGGGAATTTATAACTTAAATTTCATTAGGATAAATGAATTAAGATTTATGGTTGGACTTGATTATGTTAAAGCTCTTTTCCAACCAAAATTATTCTGTGATTCTAAGATAAAGGAGGTTGTTATCAAGTTAAAAGATTACAAAACTGAAAAGCAGAATTTAAAGATGTTCACAAACAAGAAAAAGATTGTTAAACCTCACAACAAACTTTTTACAAAGAAAAGTGACAAAGGAAGGTTGAAGGCAAGCAATACAAGCAAGCCGTCCAAAATCTCTCACGGAGATGGCAGGAGACACAAGGATATGTATTTGTTAACATCATAATTATAGGGAGGATTATCTTAATTTTAACATCATAGAATCACAGAATACCCTGAGTTGGAAGGGAGCCACAAGGATCATTAAAGTCCAGCTCCTGGGCCATCCACAAGAATCCAGCCACATCCAACAATGCCTGAAAGCATCGTTCAAACACTCCTTGAGCTCTGTCATGCTTAGAGCCATAACCACTGCACTGGGGAGCCTGTTCAGTGCCCAACCACCCTCTGGGGGAAGAACCCTTTCCTGATATCCAAGCTAAAGCTCCCCTGACACAACTTCATGGCATTCCCTTGGATCCTGTCACTGTCACCACAGAGCAGAGAACGATGCCTGCCCCTGCACTGCTCTTCCTCAGGAAGTTGTGGAACTTCCTACTGCATTAGCAATTCAGGTTATGGCCCCACAACAGCCCTTGCTCAGGATCTTGATGGACTTAAAACACAAATTCCTTCCCAGACTTTTCTCTGCCATTTTCCAGCCAACTGAATAACAGCATGTCCAGTCAGGTTTTTAAAAAGGAATCATCCATTCGCTCCAATACCTTTATTGCCTTTATTCCGACTACATTTACTAGGTTAACCCCGTGGAGAACGTACTCACAAGTAAGGCCTAGTGCAGATGGCTGGCAGTGTGTGTTGCCTTTCGTTTTTATAATTAATCATGCAAGATGGTAAAAAATTCAAGGACGTGTGTCCCAGTTTGGAATTCTGCACAAAGAAGCTGCTATGACAGCAAACCTGTTTGTCACAGGTATGAGGACAGAGGGTGACTGCACAGCCTGAACTTGTAGCCAGGGCTTATAGAGCAAAGAGAGCAACTTTCTGTGCAGTCCTTCTGATGTTACAGGAAACCATTTTATTCCTGAAGAACCTTTAAGGGTGATGATGGCATTTTCTATATGGGCATTGAGCCAATCCCCCAGGCAGTGCCTGCAAATCCCAGGAAGATGCTGAGCTCGTTCACAGCACCCAGGAGCAGGCTGGGCTGAGCACCATGGCTGGGAGCACCACTGCATCCTACACAGCTGGAATCCACTGGGAAATATCCTGTGCTGCGTAAGAAGTGCATCCTGATCCCAGAACAGAGAGCCCAAAACCTGCCAAAAGGGCTTTCCCTGCATCTTTCCTAAACTCCTTCCTTGCTCCTTGTCACACCACCCTGACTTGGCAAGAGGGGTGCAAAAGGAGGCAAACAGAAGTCACATGTAGAACACAATGCAGCTTCTAATGTTAATCTTTTAAAAGTGCTAATTATATAAACCTCTCTGTTCTGAAAGGAAATTAATATAATTGTTTGTACAGACACAGGGAAAGTCATCTGAGAAGTGCTGCTATTTTTAACTGATCATAGTTAAAAATAGGGAAGCCAAATATTAAGAATTCTAGCAATAAAAGGTACAAAAATATCCAGGCTCACACAACGTGAGCAAAATTTTCTGGTCACCTCGCTTACCTTACTGGCATCTGACTGGGAAAAATACTTTGTGCACAAATTACTGATTACTGTTACTGATTGGGAAGTGAATACCAAACCCACCGATTTTATGCTTAAACAGAAAACTCCCAAGCTGAACAGTGTTTGTCAAAACAAATCATAAGAGACAAATCTGTGTTCCATACAGAAACATATCTGTTGAAAATCTTAAAGAAATCAACTTATTACTAGTTCTGTCTGGCATGCTGTCACCTGCTTATCACGATGGCAAATGTTTGTAATAAAAATCATTTAATAAGCAAACAACCACTTTATACACTAACTTCAAGTTTTATATGCTAATTTCAGTTTCAAAGCAGACTAAAGAAGGACCTTCTTGTGGAAGATACGTTTTCTCCATTTTTGGTATGTCTGTAAAGGCTGGTGTAAATAAGGAGTTTAATTAAAATCCTAAATGCTTACTCCATAAAAATAGCTTTATGATATGGGAAAAAGTGGATTTTTTCCATTATAATTGCCTGTCTTGTGTATTGCATTGTAAGAGTCCAAGTGAGAGGCTATAAACTCTTTTGTTTTCAATTTTATTATTTATAAATTATGTTCATTGATGCTTTCTTGATTCATATTGCGAGAACATCCTGAAGCTGCACTCACTATGTCAGCCACCTCTATGTTATGGCTGCACCCAATTAAAAAAAAAGTAATAAAATACAATTATGGGGGTTTTAGCCCATCAAAATGCCACCAATGCATTGAAGGAGGGAGAACACCAGGCTCAAATTTAATCTTTTCCAATGTTTCACAGCTCACGTTGGCTTTAACCTTTGTACTTTGAGGGGCCTTGTGTTTGTTTTTTCTGGTTATTAATTTTTATGAGGCTCGCGGTACGTAGCTGCTGTCCAACCATGCCAGAGCCACTGCTCTGTTCCTCACGCACAGCTGGAGATACTGGGAAGGTTTTGGGGTTCTTACCCCCATCACTGGAGTCAGTAAGCCCCTTGTGGGACAGGCTTGAATACTGTGTGGGGTTTGGGGCACCACAATACAAGAAAGACCTTGAACTATTGAAGAAGTGCCTTGAGGAGAAGCCGCGTGAGAAGCGACTGAAGAAACTTGGTCTGTTCAGCTTGGAGGAGGCTGAGGGGAGACTTCACTGCAGGTACAACTATGAGGAGCAAAGGACGGGCAGGCACTGATCTCTGCTCTGTGGTGACAGTGACAGGACCCGAGGGGAATGGCCTGAAGCTGTGTCAGGGGAGGTTTAAGTTGGATATTAGAGAAAGGTTCTTCGCCCAGAGCGTGGTTGAGCACCCCAGGGCTGTGGTCCCATCACCAGCCAAAGAACTCAAAGCTCAAAGAACCGTTTGGATAACTCTCAGGCACATGGTGAGAGACTTACAGTATCCTGGGCAGGGCAGAGAGCTGGATTCGATGATCGTTACGGGCTCCTTGCAGCTCGGGATATGGCACGTTCCCCAACGGCGGAGCCCGCGCCCCGTCCCCACAGCTCTCCCCTCA